CACTCCATGAGCGTATCTTAAAATTATAACCAATTTAAGAGATCAAATACATATTTTGTACTGACAGTCATCTTACAGCAATAACTTAGCACCTAATTATGTCTGTATCTCCTCACCTAACATATAAAAGAGCTGTAAGCAGTCTCTTTTATCTATCTTAATGTTGTAAATGCTTTGATTCTGATGATGTTATTATTTGACAAATAAAATGTACAGAAAGGTTGTCCAACTGAAATGACATGACAGAACAGTGATAAATAAAAACATTGCAACACAGTTAGCTCTTTTCAACCTCACCCTGTCGATATGGGCAAGCAACATTGCAACAGCACATGCACACATATACACATAAACACATGTGCACACATGTACACACACATATACATGCATGCTAAATTCAGGGTTTATTGTACAAAAACGTTCAAATTAAATATTAGTGATTAGTACAAATGATTATTTGCCTTACTACCTAATAATGCACAATCTATTCACCATGCCTATCAACATGTGACCACTTAATTTATTTTTAATTAATTAATTAACTAATTCATTCATTCATTTGTTTGGTGCTAATAATAGGGCTTGAACTCAGGGCCTGGCTCTGTCCCAGAATTTGTTATCTTTTTGTTTTAGTTTTCTGAAGGCTAGCATTTTACTGCTTGTACCACAGCTCCATTTCTAGCTTTTGTTGTTTTCTTTCAAATCAGAATCTAATGGACTATTTTTGTTGTTTGGTTTGGTTTCAAACCACAATCCTCAGACTTCATCTTTCTGATTAGCTAGGATTAATGACATGAGCCACCAGTGTGGCTTCTACTTCTTCCTCTATACTTATCTAATGCGCATAATTAAATAGTAATTTAAAACTGAGAGTATAGTAACAAGTTGTACAGTGATGAAATTGTCCTGTCAAAACTTCAAGTTAGTAATTTAAATTTCTTCTTAAGACCATACACAAAAAAATACCATGATATAGTATAAGAGAACTCACAATTGGACGTATGAGCTTCAAGAGCTTTTTAATAGATTCATTATTTATTGTTACCCAACATTAGGAAAAAAATGTACAATGCAGTAGTAAAATAGAGTCCTTTGCATGACTACTTAAATTCCTGTTTTTTTAAAGACACTTGTTTTCATCTACAAAAGTAGGCGTGTCTATTGGCTTCATGTGGTTTCTATGATTGAAAGTGCTTAATGAGAAGTCAAGATGTATTAGTAGTCCTTTGCTATCATTAAATCTCACTTTGATAATAAAATTTAAAAAATAATCTGCATAAAATATATTTTCACTGTATTGGTATAGTAAATATTATTCTCTTTGTTGTAACTTTTTAAAAATCAATAGTATTTGGCATCTAATTTGAATTAATTACCCCTTCTTTATTAGAGGTTCATCAACTTGAACGTTATCCAACTAGACAATATTTTAACAATATATTGCCAATATTTTGAAAAAAGAATAAATTTATTACTTTCTCATACTAAAACCGAAAATAGTTTAATTCTATGGAAACCCATAACTTTTAAAAGTAAATAAGTTTTTAAGAGGACAGAATATATGTGTTATTCAAAATTCCCATCACTAATAACTACTCATTTTTAACTTCTCAACATTCTATACTTGAGAGATTCAAAACAGTACCTGTTTGCATGTTATGAAATTCTGCAATAGATGCAGTTTCCAATGGGGTGTTATAGAATGAGAAATCAGCCAAAAAATTGCCATATTCTGGTAGAGGATAAAACTATGAAGCATCTGGAGGGGATGTGGACAGAAAGGAACCTTACTTCATTCTTGGTGGGAATGTAAACTTGTTCAACCACTTTGGAAAGCAGTATGGAGGTTCCTCAAAAGACTTCACATAGAACTCCCCTATGACCCCACAATCCCACTTTTGGGCATTTACCCAAATGTTTACAAACAAGACCACACTAAAGCGACCAGCACAACTATGTTTATTGCAGCATTATTTACCATAGCTAAGATATGGAACCAACCCAGATGTCCCTCAGTAGATGAATGGATCAAGAAAATGTGGTATATATACACAATGTAATTCTATGCCTCCATCAGAAAGAATGACATTTCCCCATTTGTTAGGAAATGGAAAGGCTTGGAAAAAATTATATTAAGTGAAGTAAGCCAGTCCCAAAGAAACATAGGTCCCATGGTTTCCCTTATTTGCAATACCTAGTATATGTATGAGTCAAGCAGAAAAGGTCAGATAATGTGATGTTAGGAAAACGAACCCTTAAATATGTATTTTAATGTTTTTTTTCTTTCATGCATGTGTTTCTAACGCATTTATAAGATTATTTCTTTGTTGCTTTGTATGTCCCTCTTCCACAGTGTAACCCCCGCTTTCACTATATTTGATATCAGTTTAACTTGTGGAGGAGATGGGGAAAAACAAGTCGTTTAAGGATTCAGGTGGACCTGTTGCAACAATGAGAAGTACAAAATGTCATGTCAAAAACGAGCTTTACAATGTCGGTGTGGGGGGGAGGGGGGGAAGGATTGGGTGCGGGGGAGGAGGGAGGCTGGGAAGGGAGGTGAAGGGTAAACAAAGGAGGAGGTTGCAATGCTTGGTAAGAAATGTATGCATTATCCTGCCCATGTAATTGTAACCCCTCCGTACAGTATGTTCTCAAATAAAATAAAGTAAAATTTAAAAAAAAGAAAAGAGAGGCAAGGGGTGACAGTGTCCAAAAAAAACAAAAACAAAAACAAAAAAACTATGCAGCATCTGTGATAATTACTTCTTCAAGCGTAGCCAATTGTTCATCAGAGTAAACTATTATTTCTATGACCATCAATCCCAAGATTTATGCCATAAAATCACCCTAGACCCTAGAACAGTTTCCAACTTGTAAGGTGCACCTTAAAATTCCTTAATTCACATCACGAATAGCTTACTCTCTATGATAAAATAGTACAACACTGCTAATGATGTGCTCCTTGTTCTGGAAAGAACACCACAAAAAACTGCATGAATTTTTCCCCAACTGCTATTCTTGAGATCAGAATACTTGCAAATATTATTTATATTTATACTTTAACTATCTTAGATATTCAGGATGCTAATATCGGAAGATTACAGTTCAAAGCCCACCCAGGAAGGTATCTTAGAATCTTATCTCCAATAAACTTTTCAGCAACAGCCAGACACAAATGCCACTGAGGTTGAAGTGTAGGGCTCGAGCCTTGAGCATAAACAGGCTCAGAGACAGTGTCCAGGCCTAGGGTTCAAACTCTAGGAAAAACTAATAAAAACAAAGAAAACAAACTCCAAACCTAGCTTTTCTCTCAATGTATACAGAGGCATGAAAGGAAATCGCTTCCTGTGTTACATATAGATAGAAGAAAGAAGATGTCATACAATTACTCTCTTCATACCATTTTATACCAAACCCTCAAAAAATTGCTGTTTATCTAAATTTATAAATTTTTAGAAATTTATAAATTTGTTGGCAACTCCGTCTAGATTATTCACATTATCATGGTATACACGAACTGTTGGAATTATCTATTAAGTTCTAATTATAACTCTTTTAAAAGAATATTCAAGGGAAATAGAATGCCAAAATCATTTGTGAATTTGTCAATTAAACCCTCTACTTAAAAAGAATTTTGTAGTATCCTATAGAATATGGAATTACAAAGAAAACCAAAGTATTTATTTTAAATCTAGATTCTAATTTAGCAAGGTCTACAAAATTCTACATTAGACGAACTTTGCTATTTCTCCAGGCTTAAGCTTTTGTAATCCTTCATCATTTCTTTGGAATCCAACAGAATGATGCTTACTTACTTTTTCAAATTTTTCGATAAGAATCATGAGCCATTTTGCATCTATGAATGTTCTGTAATGAAGAGAACATTTAAAACACAACTGAGGATTATATATGAGTTGCATTTCAATAGGAAACTTGACTTCTCAAAACTAGTGACAAAATTAGCCCAAAATTCCATCTGTGTATTCCTTTCTTGTTATTTGGTTTGTTTTATCAAAACAAAATTATACTACCTGGTCCGGGGAAGGTATCGCTATGTAATTCCACTCTCTAACCTCCTGTCTTAGTCTGAGTGCTAGAATTCCAGGCTTGTATCACATTGTCCTGCCATAGTTTGTTGGTTTATTTAATCTAGAAACACAGTAGCAATTCAGAACTTCTCCAATGATCTTCTCCACTAAACTGACTGCTCAGATTGTTTATGTACTATTTTCAAAGATGTTCTAAAATTTGACATAGGATATGAACATTTTCAGATGCACGTGCAGGGGTCTCTTATTCATTCCTCCATGGATCCGATCCCATTAATAATGATTACTTGACTCTCTTACTATCTCTGGTCCCTACCTATGTAATATTCTCAACTTTTTTTAAGAAAGTTCACTTGAGAGTTTTCTAATATTAAATATTATGACTTGATTCTAGTCTTACTCAGGGCATATTTTCTATTGTTTTCTAATGTTTCTACATATTCTGAGAGTTGTTTCATTTGTGTATTTGTGTGCACATATAAGTGCCTCTATGTGGATGTATGTGTTTTTATGTGTGTATGCAAAGGCCTCAAGCTCTTATTCAGCAAACTTGCTCATGACAGGTATTCCAGCTTTTGGCTGGTTAATTATAGGTAGTGTCTCAAAGCCTGTTCTGCTCAAGCTGGATGCAAACTGAACTTCCCAGACTCCTTTACATTCTTAGGTTTTATTTTTCCAGGAGTATCAACTTTTAAACTACAAACATTTTTGTGAGTGTAAAGTCTAACCTGTAGCCCAGATTTTTAACTCAAGCATTCGTATAAAAATGGATGAACATACACATTATATATCCTGAGTGAACACTGTTAGAAATGTGATCGTAAGCCGAGTGGTTGTGAGATCTGAGAATTGGGGTTCAAAGCCAGCCCGGGTAGGAAAATCCTGGAGACTCTTTTCTCCAACAACTAACAGAATACTGGAATTAGCATTGTGGCTCAAGTGGTAGAGCACTAGCCTTGAGCTGAGTAGCAGAGGGACAGCATCCAGTCTGAGTTCAAGTGCCAAAACAACAAAAAAGAACATAAGAAAAGGAAAGAAAAAGAAATGTGGTCTTGACATCAAATATAGTGAAAGCAGGGGTTATACTGTGGAGGAGGGACATACAAAGCAACAAAGAGATAATCTTATAAATGTGTTAGAAACACAGGCATGAAAGAAAAAAACATTAAAATACACATCTAAGGGTTCATTTTCCTGACATCACATTATCTGACCTTTTCCGCTTGACTCATACATATACTAGATATTACAAATAAGGGAAACCATGGGACCTACGTTTCTTTGGGACTGGCTTACTTCACTTAATATAATTTTTTCCAAGTTTTTCCATTTCCTAACAAATGGGGCAATGTCATTCTTTCTGATGGAGGCATAAAATTCCATTGTGTATATATACCACATCTTCTTGATCCATTCATCTACTGAGGGGCATCTGGGTTGGTTCCATTTGATGTCAGTATAACTTGTGGAGGAGATGGGGAAAAACCAGTTGTTTAAGGATACAGGAGGACCTGTTGCAACAATGAGAAGTACAAGTTGTCATGTCCAAAACGAGCTTTACAACGTTGGTGCGGGGGGGGGGGGGGGGGGGGGAAGGAGAAGGATTGGGATTAGGGGGGGAGGGGGGAGGCTGGGAAGGGATGTGAAGGATAAACAAAGGAGGAGGCTGCAATGCTTGGTAAGAAATGTACACATTATCCTGCCCATGTAACTGTAACTCCTCTGTACAGTATGTTCACAAATAAAATTAAATTAAATTAAAAAAAATCATAAAAAAAAAAAAAGAAATGTGGTCTTAGCCACCAGGTTCATTGATAGTATAATCCCTGTTCTCTCAAGATGGACTATTTTTTCCATTTAAGTCCATGCTTTATATCACTCCCATACATCTCCATATTGGACTTGGCTTTATTGTTTCAATGTTGTCTTATTTGTAAAGTCTTCTATATTGTATTGAAACCTTATACTTAAATACAGAACTTCTCTATATCCTATTATGACAATTGTTTTTCTTCCTGTTAACTCATGTACACTTGGGAAGTAGTGCACAGCAGATACACTCACAAAAAAATGATCTGAGAACCTTCTTCCCATTTAACATTCACCTTAATTTACAGAGCACTTAAGAAGTTTGAATTCAATGTACTCATGGATAATGTATTTATAAGCAATTTAAATTTCATATTTTCTCTTTCCTAAGTTGTCTCTGAAACACGTGTTACCTCATGTACAAAGGTGTCCTTATGCTATTTCAATAAAACCAGAAAACATTCATTTTATCTGGAGCAGCACCATAGATTGTTACTGTAAGTAAGTGGAAGTAACTATTACTGGATGTGGAAACTGAAACCAGGAGAGGAATTGAACATAGAGGAATGACAAAGTTCAAGTTAACTTTTGCTTTCCTTCTTACCGTACAAGAAAATAATCTAAGGCTTGAAGGAAACTCTGTCCCTGACTTTTTTGAGTGTATTCTTTACTCCTGTAAAACTTGTCTGTAAACTTCTAGTTGAGAGTATTACAAAAGAAAAGAACGTGCCATTTCAAGGCCAGCATAGAACAAAAGGAAATAACTTTGTTTTAACAGTGTTCTACTGCAAAGAAACAAAGACATGGAGATTTTTATGTGTCTATTGCATCTCTCCTGAGATGATTTTCCTATTGCAGAAGTCTGTTATCCATTTCTTTGTTCTGGTCCTGAGTTTTCCATAGCAATAAGGATTCCAAAAACAGAGGAGTATGAGTATGATCAGCAAAAGCAGCCTCTTCTCAGACAAGTGCTCCTTTTAGGAGGGTCCCAAGAAATTCCTGGAGTTTGATTTGTTTGCTTGTTTGTTTAGTTTGTGCTGGTTCTGGGGCTTGAACTCAGAGGCTGGACCCTGTCCCTGTACAGTTGTCTTTCCTGCCCACCTGCTAAAATCTAAATACTCTACTGCTTGAGCCAAAAATCCATTTCTGGTTTTTTGGTGTTTAATTACACATAAGAGTTTGACAGACTCTCCTGCCTGAGTTTGCTTTGAACTAAGATAGTAATAAATCCCAATGCCATCAATTGTATGGAATTCTCTTTTGAACCAAGAAATATTAGATGAAATTCATCATAAAACTAATATTTGACAATTTTTAAAAGAAGAGAATATGTCCAGCAAAGAAGCCATAAATTAACCCAGCAAAAGTAGGTGCACTGAATCATTTTGGAATTATTTTCTCTGCTTTCGAAGATTACTAGTGACTTCATCATTCCTTTTTGGAAATGAAGTCATGTTTACACTTTTTTGTTGGTTGTGGGGCTTGAACTCTGATCCTGGGCACTGTCCCTCAGCTCTTCAGCTCAAGTTGAGTACTCTACCACTTTAGCTATGGCACCACTTCTGGGTTTCTGGTGGCTAATTGAAGATAAGGGTGTCATGGACTTTCCTGACCAGGCTGGCTTTGAACCACAATCCTCTGGTCTCTACCTCCTGAGTAGCTATGATTACAGGCATGAGCCACCAATACTTGGCTCATATTTGCATTTAGTGCAGTTTTTGACACGAAGTAGACAAAGAATGGAAATCTATATCAAATGATGTGACATTGAAGCTTTTCAGAATAATTGAGGTAGTAATATGTCCTCCTTTTCCATTTTGTTACATTAATGACTCATGAGCTATGGGACCCTTACATTAGCATCCTTTTCTATCTGGGTAGGTGTATTTAGTATCAGGAAATGTTCATAGAGAAATAGAGAAAGACAGATTTTTAGAAAGCAACGAAGATCAGGTATGAAAGAACCGCATAGAAGGCGACACATTTCTCACACAGAGATTAAGAACTAGCTTAAGAGATTTAGAATACTAAAGGCAATGAGGAATAATCATAGTTGATAACTAGTTCTTCAATAACCAAAAATAGTTCCCTAGAACGGTTTCTGATATACCTAACTTACAGGACAAAATAGCAAGCCCACCTTTTTAAAACATAGGATCTCTCTTTACCTACAGTTGTGTTATGCATCTTGCATTCAGTATAGTTATTCTTTTTATTTTGTATCTTATTCATGGATATATTGTGTATTTTATTGAATATGGTGATTGCTATAACTGTGCTGACATGAATGACAACTTATTCCCATGGCTATAGAGTTGCCTATGTAGAATTCTCCATCCTCGCTGATACCCAGGACTTTCACAAGACAGGAAAACAGGTGGATTGATTGGCTTGTCACATCAAGGTGAATCTTTTGGCAGTTCTGGGATTGGAACTCAAGGCCTAGCAGACCCAATTGGTAAATGAATCATGGGGAACACACCAGCCTGTAAGACACTAAGGAGCTAGGCCATTCCCAGGACCTGAGACAGAGCCCTGGTGGGGGCCAATATAGTCATAAATTCATCATTTAAACAGATGATCTATGTTTATATACATGGGTGGGCAGCATCTTGTGTTCTGTGTAGTCATTCTCTTTATTTTGTGTCTTACTCATTGATGTGTTGTGCATTTTCTTGAGTATAGGATAACAGATATAATTATGGTGACCTAGATGACAACCTATTCCCATGAGCATAGAGTTGCCTATGCATTCTCCATCCTAGCTGAGACCCAGTACTTGCATAGCACAGGAAAACAGGTGCAACAACTGGCTTCTCACATCCGGGTGAATTTTTGGCAGTGCTGGGATTCAAACTTTGGGCCTAGGAGGCCCAACTGCCCAATGAGTAAATATGAGCACACCAGCCTGTTAGCCACTAACGAGCTGGGTCATTCCCAGGAACAGAGATTGAGTCCCAGGGAGATCAAAATAGTCCTGAATGCATCATTTAAACATAGGATGTACATTCATCTGTGTGTGGACTGCATTGTGCATTTAGTGTAGTTATTCTGTTTTGTATGGTATTCATGAAAGTTTTATATATTTTCTTGAGTATATGATGATAGGTATAACTGGGCTGACATGGATAACAATCTATTCCCATGGCCACAGGGTGGCCCATGCATTCTCCATCCTAGCTGACACCCAGGACTTGCACTGGAAAACAGATGCAACGATTGGCTTCTGACATCAGGATGAATTTTTTGGCAGGGCTGGGATCTGAACTCGGGACCTACCAGGCCCCATTGACATATAGGTCCATGTGAGCACACCAGCCTGTGAGCCACTAAGGAGCAAGGTCTTTCCCAGTACCTGAGATGGAGCCCCCAAGTGTGGTGCCAGGAGTGGGCACACAGCAGTCATCCATTCATAAGTTGAAGGTAGTAAGCAAATAAGTACATATTTGTATAGATTAGGAGAGATGGTAACCTGTGATAAAATCCAATCTCCAATGTGTTTACTGATTCTTGGATCTTTCCAGATGCCTCCATTTCATGACTGTGATGATTATTGCCACACTTAATCAACACTTCTTTACAAATAAGCGATACCACATGAGTCTTGCCTATCATTTCCTACTTATATCATGCATGAACTACTCATTCAAGGATGAGATCAATGCCATTCTATGACTTTTCCTGGTCCAGAAACCAATATCTCACGATTTCCAGCCATTGCCTTCTCATAGAGGGGCTGAATTCAAGCCTCAGGCATGGAAAACATACTCCTTAAATACATTTTAAAGATAAGATTTATACTTCCATACAGATGTTCAGGACATATCGTGTTTGGTGTGGTAGGATTTATACTTCCATACAGATGTTCAGTACATAGTATGCTTGGTGTGGTTGTTCATTTTATTTCATGTTTTATTTTTATTTACCAATTATTTTATTGATTCTGATGACACCTATACCATTTACTACATTGTTTACCTCCTGTCACATAGCATCTAGATTTGTAGATGTGTTCTCCATCATGCCTCACACCCAGGACTCTCCCAGAAAAGGAAAACATGTGTCACACTAGGCTTCTTAATCCAAGATTAAATTTTTTGGCAGTGATGGGATCTGAACTCAGGGTCTAGCAGGCCCAATTCATGAATGGGTGAGTAGGAGCACAACAGCCTCTAGCCAATGAAGCTGTCAGGTGGCTCCCAGGCACTGAGATCAAGCCCCAAGTTTGGCCAAAACAGCAATACATGGATAGGCAAATGGTGGTATAGAAATATATATATTGGTAAAGAATGCCAGTGCCGTCTATCTATTATTGAATGGCATCTGCTACGTTTCTTCCAACTCTTAGGTATTTATTATATCGACATTGAAATAACATTATTCTTTTCATGCTCAATAAACTATTAATTAAGATCAATCAGCATCCTAGGATTATTGCATCCAATTTTAGAGTAGACAAATGCATGAACTACTCTTTCAATCGGTATTCTTATGCATAGGAACAAGTCTTTTGTGATCTCCTGCAATTGGTAGGTGTAAGGATCAGGATTTGAACCCAGGGTCTATGTTGACATGTTGGCTTATGGCTTCCCTGACAGCCTGCCAGCCATCAGCAATGGCAGGTCAGGTCCACTTTGCAACCGTGTCATTCAGATCCAGATGGTCACCGTAAAAAGAAAAAAATTGTAAAAGCCTCCAGCCCTCTGCAGTTCACCACTTTTTGTGCTGTCCCACTTTTTTTCTTCCTGCAAGCCCTCTGGGCCTAGGGTCCCAGGATTCGCTATCGGTCCTGAGGCTGAACTCCAGCCTAGGGAGATCGAAGCTGAGGCAGAGTTGCCATGACCTGAGATCAAGCCCTGTGGTTGGCAAAATTAATTAATTAATTAACTAAATAAAAAAATAAAGCTCCTTGGATTGGAATTTCTACCAGTTTTCTTTCCTAGACTGGGATTTGAACTCAGTGCCTTGGTAAATCTATACCAATATGAGGGAAGGTGCAGAGTTGCCACTTCTTGATTTCAAACCCCATGCCAAGCCAGAAATAAATAAAGTCACTGACCTTGACAGGGAAAGGTTGTCGTGGATATGGGAAGGAAGTGGGGGAAAAAAAGGAGGAGGCAACAATGCTCAGGAAATGTACTCATTACTGTGCTCATGTAACTGTGACCCCTCTGTACAATATTTTTACAATAAAAAATGTACAAGAAATAATATATTGCTCAGATAAGCACTGTGGGGGTAAGGGAAGGATGTCTGAATAGCTGTAAAAAATTCTACACTGATGTTTTTTATAATGGTCAGTATGGAACTGAATAAACATAACAATTTCCAAAACAAATATTAAATCACTGACTTGGAACTGGGGCCAGTATTTTTACCATTGATGGAATTTGAGCACACCGTTCGGGCAACTCTTTTACCATTTGTGAACGTGAAGCTCACTGTCCTTAAGGAAAATAAATTCAAGTTAGAGTTCCCAGAGCCTGCAGTGGAAAAATATGTATATACATATGTAATATATGATATATATGTATGTCTGTACATTTATTTCATATTATTATTATTATTGATTTTGTATTGTTTATTTTTATTTTATTCATTTTATTGTTTATTGTATTTATTATTATACACATAATATTTATTATGTTTTGTACATCTATTATATAATTATACACAATAATTTAGGACATTGACTCATTTTTCATTACTACTTTATTAAGTGCTGAAACATGGTACTTAATTAAGTAGAGGCATTTGTCACAGACATCACATGTTTAGAGTCTGTCCACAGTATGTGCTTTGTCTTATTTACCTTTGGACAACTTCCTATAGGGATTTCTTTAGATGATTTATACACAGAAACCTTTTCTTGAGGATAAGCAAGTTGAGGAATAAAATTGTGAGGTTGGGGCTAGGAATGTAGCTTACTGGTAGAGATCATACTCAGCATGCATGAATGCCAGGATTTGAAACCTCAGTGCCACATACTCAGAAAAAGCCAGAAGATGTGGAGAGGCTCAAGTGGTAGAGCACTAGGCTTGAGAAAAAGGAACTCAGAGACAGTACCAAGGCCCTAAGTTTAAGCCCCAGGTCTGTCAAAAACAATAGGCCAGATGCAGATGCCGGTGGGTCACACCAGGAAACCTAGCTTCTCAGGAGGCTGAGATCTGAAGACCACAGTTTGAAGACAGCCTAGGAGAGGAAAGCCTGTTAGACTCTTACCTCCAATGAACCACCAAAAGACTACATGTGGCATTGTGGCTCAAGTGGTAAAGTGTTTGCCTTGAAGTGAAGGGCTCAGGGACAATGCCCAGGCTTCGGTTTGAGACACACAACTGTTAAAAGAGTGAAGGCTAATCAAAGTACTTTTCCTATATGCTAATTATGAGAACATTTTCTGGAAAATGAACGCTGGTGTACCCCAGAGTTGGAATCAGAGCTCAAAGTTCAAGTGTATCACATCCATATGCCCAGCCTCTCAGACACTAACATTATAACTTTGTGTCCTACAGGGTTCTGAAAGGTCCACTGTTGAAAGGCTTAATATGCTCCCCAAGCCCTTTACGATAAGTAGTTGACTTGTATTGTCAATGTCATTACAGTTCTGAACCTAGCAGAGAACCAATAGCTCATGCCCATCACCCCTGCTCAGGAGGCTGAGGTGTCAGGATCACAGGGTGAAGCCAGCCAGGGCAGGAAAGTCTATCACACTCTGACTTCCACTTCTGAAAGGTCAGATGTTCAAGAGCTTCCTGTGTTTCTCTTGATGATGAGATGTTACTTGCACTCTAAATGTTTATAGAGTTCTCAAGCTTTAGAAGAAGGAAAGAAATATTATTGACACATCCTGGGTTCAAATGAAGTTCTCAGGATCCAAGCCCTAGCCCTGTTAGCAGGAAGAACTCCAGTGTAACCCTGTATTTGAAGGAAAGAAAACAGTTTCAAAAGCCAGGCTAGGGGCAGAGACCTAGACCTGCAGGAGTAGGAGGCAGAACGTACACTCTCATCAGGGAAGTGAGCTGCAAAACCTCTTCATTCATTCCAGGCACAGCCAGCAATGGAGGGAAACCTGAAACATTTATTAGAGTTACACCATGGTCAGGCTTTTCTCAGCCTCTTCAAACATTGACTAATTAACCTTCCTTCCTCAGGGGAAGGGAGCCTCAAGCTATCTTTAGGTTACCAATAGAGAGCCAGTTAAGTGGGGGAGAGAGGAGTAACAGAGGAGAAAAAACCTGCTCTGTGGTTTTAGGGAGTGGGGTTTTGACTCTCCATCTGTCAGGTTTGAAGGCCCTTCTTCTATCTTTACCAGTCCATTCTCCTTCCTTCATTCTCCACATCATTATTGCAAATCCCCAGTCCAAGGAGAAGCAGAGCCATTTCTGTTCTGTTTCCAAGCACCTGAGTTAGAACCTGGCTATGCCCTCTATACTCTGGAGCTCTTTGCTGCCTGAGAGTTGAGACAGACAGTCTTCCTGTTCTGTGGTTGTGTGAAGGCGATGCTGGTGCCCTTGCACAATGCAGAAGACCTCATGACTGGGAAGTGTTCCCTTCTTTCCTTTTGATACCCAAGACCTGACTCGTCTATCATGTTTCTATCATCTATCTGTCTACCTACCTACCCCTACCTACCTACATACCTACTTACCTAGCTATATCTTTGCCAGTTGTTGGGTTGAACTCATACCCTGGGCACTGTCTCTAGCACTCTGCTACTTGAGCCACAGCACCAAATCTGGCTTTGTCTGTGTATGTGCTCCTCAGGAATCGAACCCAGGGCTTCCTGAATGCTAGGCAAGCACTCTGTCACTAATCCACATTCCCTGCCCCTTCATCTTACTCTTAAAGGTAGTTTTTGCATAAGTAATGCTACCATTTTATTTTCCCAAGTTTAAATTTCTGAACACCGGTTACTTCTCCGAACCCTCATTTTCTCTTTCCTGCCTGATTTGTGACTGTTTCTGCTTTGGCCTCATAATGAAATATAAATGAAGGCTGCTGAGAGCTTAAGTGTGCATCATTTAGGGACACAGGCCTGGAAACCTGGAAGAGAAAAGTGATGGGCCTGAAATGAAGAGAATGATGCAGTATGCCCAACTAGCAAATCTGAAAAATAAACCTGTAAATAAAAGCAGAAGCATTGCATAGGTCTGTTTGCACTTGGGGAGATAATATACATAAACACATAACTAGGTGTTGGGTCTTCGTCCGTCTTTGGACGGACAGGGTCCAAGGAGAGGTAAGTACAAAATGTGGCTGGTCGCCCGTTCCCCACCCTTCCTTAGCCCAGGAGATAATCAGATGCAGCAGGGAGTCAAACCAAGCAGGAACTCGTTTATTAACAGGGAGCATCCCATTTTTAAAGCAAAAGACTGCATGGGAGGAGAGGAAATGGGATCAACCAATCACTGAAAGGCCACACCTTAACATGCACCTAAGCTTCCATGAGTTGTTTACACACTGAACCTGAACAATTCCGGCTCTGCCCACTCAACTTCTTCTCAGGGCCATCTTTGCTACCCCCCACATATTCACCCTTTTTGTTTTAATGGCAGATCCACCTCCCAGTTAGTTATCTTTTTCCCCTCCTCTGTAAAGGTTATTTTAACAGGATTACATTTGGCCATGCAGGGGGTTGGAGGCAAGTCTGGGGAGAAGGAGGGCCCTTATGCATAAAAGCCTCTCCCAGTTACCTCTCATCCCCACCTAGCACAATAATAAACATTAGCCCCACCACAGCTAGAAATGTCCCAAGCAGTAAAATTTCAAACAAACTGTGTAGAAATAGCAAAGCAATCCTGGGCACCTGATGTCTTTCAAGTAAGCCAGTTCCTTGTACGTGCCTTCAAGCGAGCACAGGGGTCAAGATGACCTTTAAGCTTTACTGTCAGCTCCCAACACCCCGTCGTCTTTGTCTAAAGAAGAGAACCCACCTGTCTTAGGTTGGGTAGATCGCCTTGTCTGTCTTACCCGTCATCGGGAACTTCTTCAGAGCAAAGCTGAAGGCCCTGTCTTAGGTTGGTAAGACTGGCACCCCCTCTTACCCGTCTCTGGCTGCGGTTCCTCTCGGGGAAATTTATTTACTTGGAGCTTGATCTTATGTAACTGGCTGGCTCATAAAAGTTTTGCATTGCACGTATAATGCAAGGAAGGCATAGAAAAAGCATCAGCAAAAGCATTCCCAGGTCAAGCAATGTCAGCCCTTTAACTTTAGGGATGGGATAGCAGTCTTTGCCACTTTAGAGTCCAGAGGTGGGGCTTGTTCTAGAGCAGGTTTTAGACATATTTACAGGACACATAACAAAAGGTAGTTGCACAAGCAATTAGTAAAAGAACAATTAGAGCAGGTAACATTAAAATAGATAGCTCCTAAAAAATATGTTTTAAACAGTCCATACGTAATGACATAGGGTGGTGATCAAAACGAAGGTCAGGCCACCATGTCGAAAGGGCAGTTTCTCTTGTGGTGCTATTGATGATT